AGCCACCAATATAGGGTGTGATGGAGCCAGCGACCAACAGGCACCTGTGGCTTTATCCTTAAACTTACAAGAGGAACGTGTAGAATACACACAGACTGACCCCTCAGGAGGCGGGGGGCAAGGGAACCGGGGTGTCTACACACCAAGTCCACCAGCCAGTGGAGCAGGGCTGCTGCAAGGCGGCTCTCCCCAGCTCCCTCTTGCTCTGAAATGCCTTCAGGTAAAGGGAAGGAGAGCGGACACGGATATACAAAGTCTGTCATTGCTCAGGGAAGGGCCTCTGCTCCAATACATTGACATGTTTAATCTTCTCAACAATCCTGTGAGGCAAACATGAATATTATTATCCTGTCTTTTTCAGGTTGGAAAATGAGACAGAAGTAACTTACCAAAGGGCAGTAACTTAGCCGGGATGCTAAGCCAGGAGATCTGGCCCCAGAGTCCAGAGTCCATGCTAAAATGGGCTGCCCTTGGAGGTTATGAACTGCCCGTCAGTAGAGGCATTCAAGCAGAGGCCTGAGAGCTATAGGAATGTTTAACAAGGGATTTCTAAGGGGACAGAGACTAAGAGACCACTAAGGTCCTTTTCAGTGGAAACCATGATCTTATGAAAAGGTGGGGAAGAATCTGAAAAACTTGTCCAGCAGGCAACCTAGCAGACTCTGACACTAGAAGATGGAGGGGGGTGGGCAAGAGAAATGTCTGCTGAGTGAGTTTTTATGATGGGACCCTGGCCCCACACCTTGGGCAGTTTTCTTCCCCCAGGATGGGGCCGGCTCCAATCTGCACCTCCTGGGCTCAGGCTCCTCATCTACAAAATGAGGGAGGTGATGGGACCCGTCTCAAAGGTTCCTCTGCTGCCAAAGTCTGGTGACTGTGGGTTCAGGCAAGGAAGCGGAGGCCAAGCCTGGGCTTCTAGAACAGTCCAGTCACTCTTGGTGTGAACAGCACAGCCTGACTGACAAACAAAGCCTGGATTTTGGCATCATTACGACATATTGAACATTTTCTTCATTCAAGTGCACAACATGTGGCAAATTAATTGTTAATCAAGTATCTAGAAGAAGAGGTCCCACTGGTCCTGCTTCAATAAATAACTAATTTCCAGTTGCCAATATGTTCTTGCATGCATGAAAACTGAATCGCCACAGTTCTTTAGAAGTCAGTTTTCTTTAGAGGGTTTTCCACTCACACCCACAAACTGTCAACCTTGGGACAGCAACTCCAAGTGTAACTGTGAACTTCAGAGTGAAATGTGGCCAGGCAGAATTCCTGAGCGTGTCACCCTGAGGCCTTGGCTCACACCTTTCCTTCCTGGAAACCTTGACCGGGGCAACCTCCCTTATCTGTGGAGTCACGTCTTTGCAGCACCAGAGCTTAGGCATAGAGTTTTACTGAGTCCGTGCAAGCCAAGCAAAGTACAAAGGGCTACTGTGCATTCTCAGAGAAGACTGGGGTCATGCGGAGTGATTCAGTCTCAACCCCAAACCTCAGAACAACGGCACTGACGAGGCCACACAGGGAGAGGCTGCAGCTGTTACAAGTTGGAGCCACAGTTCACCTGACCACGAATTAAACCCAATCAAGAAGCATTTATTGAGTACCTGCTACAACTACTGACAAGGCACTAGTCCCCTCAAGAACTTTGATCAGAGACTGTACCACCTCCATGGGGTTGACGACAGAGGGGCTGCTGTTCCTGGTCAACTGACAAGGGAAGAAATCCCAAGAATTTTAGGGACTTGCTTTAAGGGCATCAGGTCTATGGCAAGGTGGGGACTAGACTTCAGGCCTCCTGATTTTCAAGGTCACACTACTCTCCACCACATGCACAATCATCAAGAGACAGTGTGGTTTACTAACGCGAATTTAAAAAATACTTTTAATCCCTCATTTCTTTTCTCATTTAAAAGAACTGTACAATTTGACCGTTTGACATACGTACACATCCTGGATATTATCACCACGGTGAAGATAATAAACATTTCCATAATTTGAAGTTTCCCTCATGTAACTGCTGACTTGTTTTGACTTTGAGAGCCATGCACAGTGTGGCATGTGCAATGGTTCACTTTGTACTGGTGAGTAGTATTCTATCATATGGATATTCTACAATCCATTTATTCATTCACCCAGGGATGCACTTTGTACCATGTCCAGCTCTTGGCCATTACAAATAAACCTGCTCTGAACATTTGTGTACAGTCTTTGTATGGACGTGTGCTTTAATTTCTTTGGGTAAACACCTAGGAGTGGAATGCTGGATCATAAGGTAGATGTTTGGCCTTTTAAGAGACTGGCAAACTTTTTGAAAGCGGCTGTACCATTTTACATTCCTACCAGCAGTGTACGACAGTTCCAGTTTCTCCACATCCTTGTCAACACATGATGTAGTTAGTCTTTTTAATTTTAGGCATTCTAATGGGTATGTAGTGGTATTTCCCTGTGGTTTTAATTTGTATTTCTCTAATTACTAATAATGTTAGGCATCTTTTTATGGGCTTATTTACCATCGTATGTCTTCTTTGGTGAAGTGTGTTCAAATCTTCTGCCTGCCTTTTCTTTCGTTCTTTCTTTCTTTCGTTCTTTC